TCAAATCTGCCGAGGTCACATATATTTTGGCGACAAATCGAAAACGTGCAAACCATGGTGCAGATGGCCAAACAAAAAAAGTTTACAAATTCAACCATCATCAAGACCTCCATCTCCAACCCAGATAAGATCACCCACAAACAACATTTCTTCATCCCAGCCGTCGGAAAACTGATCAGGCGAGCCGAAGTCGCATCAATCGGCTCGCCTCTTTTTGAAGTTGCCGCAAGAATTGGATGCACAACATTAAAATTTATAGTAGATACAGGCGCATCAGTCACAATCATCCCAACAGAATTTTCAACAGGATTATGTTTGCAACCAACTGCCGTTCACTTGTCAATCGTGAGTGGTCAAAACATTATCTGTCATGGAGAAACCATTGTTGAAATCCACATCCTACCATCGCACAGAACATACAAATGGAATGTTGTAATTGCAGATATTGTCAAACCTTTGTTAGGCAAAGATTTTTTAAGTCATTATGAAATCCTTGTCGATTGCACCAACAAAAGACTGATTGACACAATAACAAAAAAAACGATTACAACAAACGTTTTGCAGGGTTCCGTTCAACAAATTCACATCAATAAACCGCCAGTTCCCCAGATAGTAACGAAACTCATCAATAAATTTCCAATGTTGATTGAACCAAGAAATAAAAATCAAATAAAAATCAACTCAAAAGTAAAACACATAATCGACACTGGTGAAAGCCAGCCAACTATCTGCCAACTATCTGAGGAGAAATATAAAGTAGCAAAAGAAGAATTTACGTCTTTACTAAACGCCGGAATCATCAGACTATTTAAATCTCCCTGGGCTTCTCCACTCCATCTAGTTCCAAAAGGTACTCCTGGACAATGGAGAGCTTGCGGAGATTATCGTTGTGTAAATGCCATTACGAAACCAGACAGATATCCAATTCCAAATATTCACAGCATCTCAACTAAACGACATAGCAAAAAGATATTTTTAAAATTAGACTTATTAAAAGCCTATCACCAGATACCAGTACATGAAAACTAGATTGAAAAAACAGCCGTAATAACACCTTTTGGACTCTATGAGTACATGTTTATGCCTTTTGGTTTGCGAAATGCAGGATGTACACTCCAAAGATTCATGGATAATATCTTTCTAGGTACCAACTGTGTTTTTGTTTATCTAGACGACATTCTCATATTTTCAGAAAGCACTGAACAACATGAAAAAGATTTAGAAACAGTATTTCAAATCCTTACCGAAAATAATTTGAGAATCTCCATAGACAAGTGCCAATTTTTCAAAGAAAATCTAAATTACCCAGGATTCACATCAGCGGTGATGGACTATTTCCTACAAAAAAAATAAACGAAATTGAAAAATTTCCAGTTCCAAATGATACTAAATCTTTACGTAGATTTTTAGGAATGATTGGTTTCTATCGCAAACTCATTCCACAATTTGCAGATATTGTATTTCCACTAACAGAATTAATAAAGTTACACCCAAACTCAAAAACAATAGTGTTTAATAACGAAGAATTGGAAACCTTTAAAACCATTAAATCTAAACTTGCCAACGTAACAACACTTCCATATCCAGATTCAAAATGTACAAAATACCACTTAGTTACTGACAGTTCTGCTTACGCCATAGATGCAGCACTGCATCAAGTAGTTGATTCAACTCCTGAACCAATCGGTTTCTACTCTAAACAGTTAACTGAACCACAACGTAACCTTTCTTCATTTGGCAGAAAACTACTAGCAGCGTACCTTGCCGTCATCCATTTTAACTATCAGATTGAAGGAAGAAATGTAACTCTATTTACAGATAACAAACCATTATGCGCTGCCTACAAAAAGAAAACACCATTAAAGTCAGACGTTCAAAAACGATATCTTTCAATAATATCCGAATACATTGCAGACGTCATTTATATTCGCGGTGAAGAAAACGTTGTTGCAGATTGTCTCTCTCGGCCAGCAAATGCTGTAAAGATAGATGTCTGTGACTTGTCGTCGATAGCCGAACAACAAGAAATTGATGATGAAATAAAATCATTCAAGCATCTGTTGAAACAATATCCAATTGGCGATAACAAAAAAAATATTTTGTGATGTATCAACACCATACCCCAGACCATACATCCCAGTTAATTTGAGAAAAGCCATATTTGACAGCCTTCATAACCTCTCACATCCAGGTATCAAAACATCAATACGATTAATCAAATCCAGATATTTTTGGCCAGATATTGACAAACAAATAAGAACATGGTCAAGAGAGTGTTTAAGCTGTCAACAAAACAAAATTCACCGACACACGAAATCTACGATATCATCATTCAATTTACCGTCTACACGTTTTGAGACTGTTCATATTGATATTGTTGGTCCGCTACCACCGGTCAAGCAAGGAAATGAAACCTATTCAAGTCCATTCAGATATTTACTCACATGCATTGACAGAACAATTGGTTAGATCGAAGCAGCACCAATGACAGAAATATCAGCTTCAACAGTAGCTACAACTTTCTTGAACATTTGGATCGTTCGATTCGGTGTCCCTCTTTATGTTGTAACAGACCGAGGCACACAATTTCAGAGCGAATTATTTCACGAACTATCGAAAATAATTGGATTTTACCGTCTGCGTACAACCAGTTATCATCCACAAGCCAACGGAAAAATAGAACGTCAACATCGTACCTTGAAAACAGCAATTAGTTGTCGTAAACAAAACTGGTTAGATGCATTAGCTGTCGTTCTTTTAGGACTTAGAAACATACCAGATAAAAATGGAATATCTCCAGCAATAGCAGTAACAGGAACCAACTTGTTATTATCAAGTCGATTTTTATTCCCAGATTCAAATGAAGATATAACATCTAGTCAAATCAAACAACTAGCAAAAGATATGTTTAAACTTAATAACTACCTAACAACTAACAATCAACATCACTCTACCCCAAAAGCTTACGTACCAAATGACCTTTCAAACAGTAGTCACGTATGGTCAAGAGTAGATCGAGTACGTCGTCCACTGGAAGCACCATATACAGGACTTTCAAAGTGATTGAACTACTTATAATAAATACTTATAAATACTTTAAAATTGAATTGTTACCAGGAAATTTTCAAAATGTGTCAATTGATTGATTAAAGCCAGCTTGTTTATCATTACCTCTAACAGCCAAAACCAGAATAAACAACAAGAATAGTTCGACAACGAACAACAAACTTTCTACAACAGATTCAACAAAACCAACAACATCAGACACAAAATCTACTGAAACACCAGAAACAGCAACAACAACATCAGGCGCAACAACAACACAAGAAACAAGACCGACGTCAACCAAATCCGAACCAACAACCCAACACTCCAGAAAAGGGAAGCGAATAACATTCAACAAACGAAATGAATATTTTTATTTTTAAATGGCTCCGTCTTTTGTGGGGGAGTATTGTAGGGATCAAGCATTTATTTATTAACTATCTCATATATTGATTGTTATTAAAGATTATTGCAATTTTAAATGTTACCTAATCTATGTTAATTTTTATGTCTTTGCTTCTCTCTCGATTTCTACCCTTTTTCCTGATAGCTTGTAAACGAAACGGTTCGAGATTCACGTGTGAATAAAGATAATATTTTATTACGCCTGAATTGTGTTTGTTTTATTTATTTTAACTCACAACAAGGTGTCTTGTTAGTAACATAAGTTCGTACTAACAAACACAACTACTTTAAACGCAAACGAAGTCGAGCGTTTATTTAATACCAGCAGTAATAGAAACAATAAATTAATCCTAATAACTACATAAAATCACATTAATCACTTTTACGTCAACTGTCGTTCCGTCTTCTTCTTTACCTGTCCTTCGTGTTGTGTGTTTTCTTCGTGTCAACCTTCATGTAACTTTCTTTTTTTTACAACCGTTTTAATTAGCTCCGCCTCTTAATTAAATTCTCAAGCGCTTCAATTAATTTCTATCTACTAATTTTTATCTCGCCTTCACGCCAGTAACAGCATAGAACATTTAATAACCAAACGCTTCCAGGTCAACATTCGGGTTCAAGTCGAATGCTCCATTTCAATACTTCTCATGTGAACTTCGGAAAGCTAGACCTTTCAATCGACGTTTTTTTTTAAGATTGGCTCCATTTGTGGTTATCGGAATGTTGCGGTGTTATTTTTCCCAACTGCCCAATCATAGTTATTTCCTTCAAGAAGATCGTTTGTTCAGTTAATTTTTAAACATTTGTAATTTATATATAATAGATATAATTAAACTCATTTCTTTTTAGTTTTGTACTTGTTTTGAATTTTTTTATATTTGTGACTAAATATTATTGAATGGTAAAAATATCTAATGCCACAAAATCAAATGGCAGGTGGCTGTTTTATTGGCGTGACGGATTTTTCATACAGATTCTCAGTCTGACAGTGCGCCCGAAATAAATTTAATTTTAAATATTTTGAAAATAATCGTGTTCAATATGAAAAAAGAGTTAAAATATCAAATAATAATTGTAAGTTTAATGTGAAGCGATGCCTTTTGTTATTGAAATTATGTAAACAAACTCGTGCTAAGGATGTCATAAAGACACGATAGATTTTGGAATGTGGTTTTGTGAAAGGCATAGTATCTGATCTTCGCTGGTTATCATTGTTTCGTTGTCGGTGTCTGTGTTGTCGCTGCTTGGCTGGTTGCTCGAATAGTTACTCAACTCGCAATTTTTGTACAACAACCTGTCAAAGTTGAATTTCATTCGGGTAGATCGTTCGGATAGAAAATTGTGCTCGTTATTGTTAATATAAATATTTTTTGTTATGGCTGCCAGACAGTTCGTAATTGAATTTTTCAGAATGAACGAAATACCATAGCAATATAATCTTAAATTTGAAAAAAGCTTGTCACTGTTGTAGACGTATGAAGTTGAAATATTAAAAAAAAAATTTTATTCTATAAAAATTCTTTAAATATGTAAAAAACGCAATATGCATCTTAAATATTGAACGTATGACTACAACACATTACTAACCTACAATCACTGCACCAATTGTGGTGTTGATCCAGGCCAAAATGTGATTTGCAGTTAAGATTGTGAGGACATGAATCTTGGGAAAATCGGAAATCAAATTTTTTTAATAAATTTCACTAATTTTTAAAAAAATTTTTCTGAATAATTTTCAAATCACACACACTGCATACAACACAAACGAGAACAAATGTCTTTAACCACTACATCATTAAGATGAAAATATAAGAATCCTTTTAAAAAAATGTAACAATTGATAGATTATATTTTGTTAATAATTTTATCGGATAAGTTTTAGTTACAATAATCTCGGCCAACTAATATTCAGAGGTATCAAAAAGTTAACAGTTTAAACAAAAAAAATTATCATTATTTTACTTTTTTTTGTTTTTAAAACAAACATTTTTGTTTTATAATCATAAACTGACAATTCTTAAAATTCATAATAATAATGGTGCATTACATTTAAAAATATTTATTAACATATAAATAGCAATAAATATGTGAATCGAAACATTATTTACCTGAATTATGAACGCCGTGTAAAAACTTATTGTGATCACTTGTAAGATGGGATTGACTTAAGATGTTATGATTTTGACCTCCGTTCATGAAACCATTGAAGTGGCTGCTAGTGAAGATGTTTAAATGGTTTTCAAATGGATTGGAAAGGCTTTGGTCGGCAACTTGGTTGAGACTGCGTTGATGTGAGCTATTTCTATGAATGTGATGATGCGAATTAGCGGTTTTGTCAATGCTGGAATGGTTGTTGGTCGATATGCCGTTGAAGTTATGGTTGTGGTTGCTGCCACTACTTATTGGTCGTTTGTCGTGGTGGTGTGAACTCATCAAGACAACACTGTTAACTCCCGCTTCTTTTTTTCGTTTTTTCTTCTTGGTGTGCGTGGCGTAGTTATCTCTGGCCGACCAGCCCGGATACATCTGCAGATGAAGTTCTTTTTCGCGCTTCGCCATATCGTAATATTTCTGCTGTTCAGACTTGTCCAATGCGTGCCACTGATAAGAACAGTTTTGAATTAATGGTATTTTTGGGTTCAAAATCTTACTTTGAAAAACTTTATTCTTGCAGAAATTTCAAACAACAACAGCGACAACAGCATAGCATTAATGGTACTAAAATTTTGCTAAAGCTGTCAATTTTAAATAACGTAGCACCTGCAACGATAAATGATTATTGAAAACCCTCTTGTGACCTTGAATTTATATTTATGAATCAACATACATGTGTACAAATACTGTTGAAAAAAGTGTGCAAACGTTCAAAAATGATACACTTTATCACTAGCAGAAAATAAACCGAAGTTGCGCGGGAGCGAAACATCGTTCATTACTCGTTGATGTGGAACCTTACATGGCACCTTTACTCAAGGGTGCTCTTTCTCATCCGACGCACCAATATAAACGCTGGCTTAACGATAGGAAGATAGTTTTAAAAAACGTGAATAGGAAAAAGAATAAAGATTATTTCGCTATGATGATGACGATGATGATGTTTAGGATGGATCAAATTGATACATAATTTGATCCAATGGAGATAAAACACGATGAGTTTAATGAAATAAGTTTGACTATAATGTAGTTTAACAACAAGATTGAATAATCATTAAAAACAGTTTAAGACTGTAGTAACGTCAAAATATCAAAAAGGTCATTCATTCACCTGTTCAGCACCTTCACTATTTACGCTATATTTTTGTCTTTTAAAAATTAAATCACATCCATACCAGCAATTAAATAAAATATTGGTCTAGACATTAAAAACAATAATGTGTTTGATTGTTTGACACAACCATCGTACGATATATCACAAATCAGATGAGAAAGGAAGCATGAAGTTTCGAATGATGCATCGCATGGATTATAAACAGTTTAACGGAACACAGCAAAATGGATCTTGGCTTATCAAGGGAAACGTTTCGTTACAATACAATAGATTATAGAAATAAACAAATATATAAATATAAATATGAATCAAACATCCTTTTATATTTGTAAAGTTTGCCTCTCTTCGTGCAAATCATAAATGAATTAAATATTTTTTGATTCAAAATAAAATATAATATTATAATTTTTAAAAAATCAAAATTGAAAAACCAAGAAAAAAAATCTTAACAAACTTGATAAAAACATTCAAATCATTCTTTTCAAGATGTTTGATCAGCCCATAATGCTTTTTTCATTTCTTTTACTTATCATTTCATTTGCTTAATTTAGATTTGATCATTGTAACTCGTTCTACTGCGGTCATCCTGGCTCTACTGTTTATTCATTAACTAAAATTTTTAACTCTGCTATCTTTTTTGTGTACCTCGATAACTTGTTCTCTTGTACTGGTTACCTATGAAATGTAGAATAATTTTCAAGATCTAGACAACTTTGACGAGAGGGCCGAAATTTTGAAAATGTTTAAATTTTTACGAGGGGGCAAAACTTTTACAGTGGGGAGCCAAGATTTGTGGTAGTGTGGCTGACGACTTTTTTTTGTTCCAATTTGTGGTCGATTTTTTACGTAAAACGGTCTTTCGTCAAACTTTTCTTAAAAAATGCTCACATTGAGGGTCACTAGTTCTCCCGGCCTCCCTAGATACGCCGCTGCAAGTCTCAATTTAATTTATTTCCAAAGTACTTATCAGATATATTAAATAAATTTAAAATCCCTGTTTACTATCGTCTTCTTGTTCTCATTTTTTCTTAATTTTTGTTACACACACTTAGCTAAATCTGCTTTTGTTTTTTACAGTCTTTTCCTTCTTCAACTACTTGGCCATCATTTACAAAGTTCAGAGCTGATCTCAAGACTCATCAGTTTGCAATTTTCAATAAAAAGAAATGATGTTATAAAAATAGAATGAATGAATGACTTGAACAAAAAACAAACAAATGAATGAATGATCAATGGCGGAAGACTTAATATTGGATGGTTTGTGGTGTTGTTCATGGAATTGAGACAATAATGTGTGTGTTGATAAGTAGGAATGGTTTGAGATTTTTAATCTATTAGTATGATTGAATAAGAATTTTTCATGGATGGATGGGAGTGGATTAATGAGAGAATTACTTATGCAACATTTATAATACTCATTATTATGAGGTTAATGTAATAATTATCATATGGTAAAAATATGAGCATAAATATAGGTAAAAATATGTACTTGTTTTATTTTTTATCAGTAATGACTGGGAATATGTATGATTGACTTGGATTGATTATTTCATTACCCATTCTATGGTTGAATGCATGTGCGTATTTCATTTATAAATTTTTTGGTTAATTATATTTTATATTAACTTCATAACTTTCTTATTATTATTATTGTTTTTCATATGATTGTTTGGTTTTTTTTATTGATTGGTAAATAGTTAATGAAATTTCTAGGCTCTAATATAATTATCTGATATAATAATTAATGATTCATGAGTAGGTGGGTATATGAGTTGGTATATGGGTAGGGGAGGTTAAGGAAATTAGATGGATGCATGAATGTTTGTTTATGTTTTCTATTGCATGGGAAATGTGTAGTTAATTTTATGCTATTCAGGTGTAGGATGGGATTAATGGGGTTAGATGGATAAAGTATTTTATAATATCTTGGTTTATAATTTTGCATTTATGGTGACACTCAAGACACTGTTAGTGTTAATTTATTGCTTTTGTAAATTATTTTCAATCTGCCATGGTATAATGCATTATCTTCGTCGTTATACTTGTGAAGCAATTGTACGAATGTATCGTGGTATGCATGTATAATACTATGTATTTTTTTCCCTGTAAATTCGGTAATGGGCAATAGCCCGTGCTTTGTTCAAATAAATAAGTTTGATAAAGTTTATTTAAAAAGTTTGATAGCAAAAGTTTTTCCAATTAATTGCCGAAAGTGTCTAAAAATAGAAACAAAGAGAAACTGACTACGTAGCTTATTGCTTCCATCAAACACGTTTTTACAGTACTGTGACATGATGGATAAGTTTCAAACGTTTGTTAATATTCAATTCAACAAAATGTTGAAGTGTAAAGAATATTGTTTTTAAATTGTTAAAATGTTTCATATAAGCAGCATCATAAGGTGTGTGACTGGATGTTTTCAATCACCTTAAATCGATAAATCTTCATGTTACTATGTCCTGCAATCCCACATTTTAAAAAAGCCGTAACGATGTGAAACCTGAAGGGAGATACCGATCCATCGACCGCGTTCAGATTATGTGTTGATGAGAAATAGGCTGACGTCGCTACAACGGACAGATAACGGCCAAAATATGTTAGTGATTAGAGAATGGTCCTTCGACAGAAACAGCAATATTCAATAAATGCAAATGAAATCGTCAACCAGCAGTGGCAACAAGGTCAAAATGTGAATCACTTTCAACTTCGCTAACAGCTTTCTTCAATTTGTGATCTTGATCGTTATTAAGTTATGACATATTTACTGATGTGCTATATTAAATTTATGTAATAATTACACTTAGATAGTTAAGTAGGTAGGCAGATAGGTTGATTGATTGATTGGAATGATTGATTGCGCAACAACTGTCGTGAGGATAGTAATGATCTCGCCATTGTTTTTTTTCACCGCAATCACAACAATACTCCATTCAAAAGATTATAACAAGATTTAATAAACAGTTAAAAAGACAACGGAGTTTTATCGAAAAACTTTTGTAACTTTTATCTTTCAGATTATTTAAGTATTGCAAATTATTGGGCGAAATTCATGTAATAAAATATTCATGAACCAATTGGCGAGCAAATAAAAAGAATTCCACAACGTTTGAAGATGCGACGAATCCTAATTTCCACATATGATTGTTCTCAACATTAAAGAGTAATACATTAAATTTTCATAAGAATTTGTAAAAGTATTAGAAAAAAAGTTTTAAACGTGGAATAGTTTTTTTTGTTCAAAATAATTTTATTTCAAATTTTCAAAAAATTTTTTTAATTAAATAATCACTGAATAAATTAAAAATTTTATTTTGAATAATTAACCAGCTTTCATTCCTTCATTCATTCATTCCTTCATTCATTCATTCACCACATTCCTTCTTAATAATAATAATTTTTTTTATTATTATTTTTATTAACCAAAAGCCGTCCAAAGAAGTCCTGGTCGCAAACAATCGAGCAAGACATGAAAGCTCTAAATTTAAATGAAATGGATACAACTGATCGCCTACTTTGGCACAAAAAATTGATGGAAAAAAAAACAACGTCCTACCTCGGGGAACCGGGTCTCTGGACGCAAAACGAAAATTGATTGATTGGTTATTATTATTAAATTTAAATCGAAATTCAAAAACAAAAATCGAATGCAATGGAATAGATAAAGTAAGTAAAGACGTAAATAAATAAAAACATTATAACCTCTTGGCTCTTTACTAGAGGGAAGTGCAGGATATTAAAATATTTAAGTATAGTGAGAATATTTAAAATTGCGTTACAAATTGTTTCTACCACAGTAAATGCTGTCGACGATCTTACCACAGAATTCATCAGTTTAACGTTAGAAGGAATTGGCCAATATATATATATTTACAATATTCTATAAACTCTACCGAATGTTTGGCGTTAAAACGTTTATAGTTCGTTTTTTCGATTTTCTCACTAAAATTTTTTGGAGAACGTTTAGTTTATTAAAATTCAAAATAAACTTATTTTCCGAATTCATGCTGCAAATAAGGCCATATTTCGATTCCGAATGAATCATCATCAGTGCAAGTTGATTAATATAGGGAAATATGTACTTTGTGAAAATGAACTTAAATGGAAATTAGGTGTCAGATTTCTTTATTGGCTGGTCCATCCTCGTTGGTTTCCTTTTCTTCATCGATAGCATCATATTCTTTTTTGTCATTATTTACAATGCTAGTTTTTATTACTTCTTTGTTTTCATTGTTGATTAAGCGCCGGGTTGGGAGTGAGGTTGTCATTTTTTGTTGTATATTTATTTTGGGTTTATTGATGTCAATTAGGACTACTTCTGTAATTTTAAGATGCGTGTAGTTGGTGTTCTGGTATATTACTTTGATGTTGCTGTCGAGGATTTCACGGCTTATAGCGATTGAGTGTGTTGAGTCCAAATGAGATTTGATAGCACCACTCTGTTTAGGCATCGCAACGCATCGTCAGTGAGGTAGTAGTAATCCCGATATATGAGTCATTTTGACGTGCACAGCCGTCAAAGGGGCAGTTAAATTCATATATTACGTGATTACGCTTCAACACACTGTTATCACAATTATTTTTCAGTATTAGGTGAGACGTTTTTTTATTGTTGTAATAAATTCGGAGTTTAACTTTACTAATTGAATTGGTTGGTGTGACATTTTTATTGATGATATGTTTAAAAATAGCTTCATCTACTTTGTATGCAGTTGACATGTGATTTCTGTAATACAAGATGATGTCATTATCTTGATTGTTGGAATTAGAAAGGCTATTGTTGTGTAGTAATTTGCCCTCAACAATTTTTTCAATAGAATAAATCATATCCATTGTTCACAAGCAGGTTGGTGACTCTTTAATTCAGCGTCGCGATTTTTAATACAAAAAGAGTCACCAACCTGCTTTTAAAAATGGATTTAAGACTTATTTTAATAAAAAGATTGTTAAGGGCAAATTACCACACAACAATAACCTTCCTAATACCAACAATCAAGATTAGCTGTTTTATGGTCGGGTAATTATTTAACAATAATAAATCTTTTCTTGAATCCTCCAAATATTGAAAAGCATCAAGTTCACCAACATTATCATTGGAACTTGAAGTGGTGGCATTGGCAAATTCTGAAGTGTTCAGTCTGAAGCCAAAGTAATCGTCATCAGACTCCACACTGTTAGTTGTATTGTGTAAATGTGCATCAAGAGAAGTTGATTGCAATACTTTTTTTGGCTTCTAAAACAAAAACAGATTGCAAGCGATTTTTTTTGATCACTCAAAAACTGTGGCAACCAGCGCATTTTAAAATATGGATAAGCTAGAGTTGCCAAAATAGCCTGGTTCACTTTTGGGAATAATTGAAGGAAATCAACAAACCTGCTGTTAAATCCTGTTGTAATTGCATTGAGAAGTAAATTGGCAGTGGTGCCAATTTACAGAATAATTTAGTGTAGAAAGTTGACTGCTAATTTTAAACAGAGTTGAAACCATATCGGCATAGAAACAGCTTTTATCGCTTTGCAGTCTATCTAAAGCTGCTGCAATCGGTTCTAAAATTTGGCAATATTCTTCCAAAAATTCTAACTCAACTTCTTTGAAAGAGAGGAACTGTAGTTCATCATAAGCTTAGATAACAAATCTTGCTATTTGAGCATACTTTTGAGACTATCATACATGAAGTTCCACCTAGTGGCGCAAGGTATCGGTAGGTTAAAACCTCATATATCAAATATTTCTTCAGCCGATTTATGGCGTGAACAAGAATTCAATAATGCAGAGCATTTGCCCATAGCAGCATAATTAAGACGTGCGAACATTCCAGAATTTTTTATATCCGTAGAAGCATCAGTTGTTGCCACAAGACTCAGTGTGCGTGCTGCATTGTATGTGACTTGGGAGGACAAAATCATTGTTACAAAAGTTGTTAGATTCCATGTCTGATAAATCAAAGATTTATATAAATTTTACCGCGTCATGATCACCATTGTTTTCAATGACAGTTTTAACTTGGCTGATTTCTGTGCCATCATCTTCAAAGTTCACCTGCACACTGAATTCCTTGAACGCTTTATCAAAATTTGTCTGTCACTGTTGCAATAATTTTTGTAGAAGATACTCCAAACTCATCGTTTATGTCACACAAAAGTTCCGCAATATGTGCTCCTGCGAAACGCCTACAAGCTAGAGCTACTGACTTTACGAATAAAAATTTATGGGTCAATCCAATGACATGTATTCCCCATAAAATTCCGCTTTAGAGTTGACCAAAAACTGTTTTGCACTTTGTTCTTTAATTTCATTCATTTTAACATTAAAACTGTCATTGATATGTCGTCCCAATGTGCGCCTAGACAAAACCACATAATCCAGTTACAAGTTTAATAAACTCAGGTTGTTCAACTGGGCGTGCATTCCTTTTATAATAAAATTAGTTATAAGTTTATCAGCCGCAGCTTGAGTAATAACATCAACAATACGAAATAACTTTGACTGCACAAGTTTTGTTTGAGGTTGTTTGTTGTTGCTAATCTCTAAATCTATGTCGTCATTTGCTTTCTTCTTTACGCCACATTTTACAGCTGATTCGGGTTTAACCCATTCGTTTTTGTATTTTTGGTAATCTTTGAATTTTTCGGCATGCATTCTCTGAGCAAAAACATAATCAACAATGTTAGCAAATTGAAAGTTTAATCACAGAAATTGCAGAAAATTATTCAAATCAAACAACTTACTTTCAAATGCGTTGTGAAATTCGACAGTGAATTAATTGATCCAGATATGACCGTTTTTTTTGAGCAAAAATTACATTTTGCTTTAACTTTTACATTATCATCAGCAACTTTAACAATGGTGAAGTATTTTCTATCAAAAATAGCTGACTTTGCAATAAAATCCGATAAATTAGCATTATTATCCTGATTTAAACTTTCCATGGGTAATGAATGTCAAAACTAAACTGTATCAAACAAACTCCAACAGTTTTAAAATCATCAATCCTACCAATATCTACAGACACAAACTTAACAATACCATGGGCCAATTAAATGAAGAAAAAAATGTTCTCTGAAGTTATTTAAACATTGATTTTTCTTTGCGCTGATATTCTTTGATGTCATTTTTATATTCATTTATTAAGTTTCTTTCTTTCTATCAACAATTTGTTCAATCATTTAACGAATGACTGAAGAAAGAAAGACACTATTCACCACTACTTGATTTTGCATATTCTTTGATGTCATTTTCATATTTTTTTATTAATTTACTTTCTTTCGATCAACAATTTGTTCAATCGTTTAATGAACGACTGAAGAAAACAGGAAAGAAAGAAGGAAAGAAAGAAAGAAAGAAAGAAAAAAAAAGAAAAAAAGAAGCGTTAAACTTCAAAGAAGTAAACTACTTTGATGTAGCTATATGACCATAAAACTTCAAAGTAGCAAATGAAATTTTTAATCAAATAAATTTTTAGAATTTAAAAATTTTTTTAGAATTTTAAGAAAAAAAATTTTTTCAATAATAATAATAATAATAATTTGTGTAAGTATATCTGTTCACTCACATATAAACTATATTTTTTAGTCAAAATGTAATTTGAAATTACTTTTAAATTAACAAATAACATGAAAGATGAAATTACTAAATTACAAATTACCAATTACTTAAAAAGACAATTTCGATACAAATTACAATTGTAATTTGAATTACTTAATTTCATTACTTGAATTACGTTACTGTCTATCTCTGAATGGTAGTAGTGGTAGTGGTGGTAGTAGAAGTAGTAGTGGTAGTAGTAATACAAGTATTAGTAATAATAATAATAATAACAATAATAACATTTGGAAAAGCATCGTGTAAAAGTAGTACAATCGGCAGCAAATCTATTTTATAAATGTTCATTTGAATTACATTTGGATCAAACTGGCGGTCACATACAATTTTTTTGAAAAATAGAAAATATCAGTCTACAGCCACGCGATGACAATGAAGCAGGGTAACACAAGCAGACGTACAACAACAATGCGTTCCTCGTTGTGTCTGCTCTCCATGTTTTTGCCTAATTTGTATTGGCGAGCTTGTTCGTGAAAAATGTTGCTTTTGCAACGAATAAATATGCCTCATGAAGACTTCAAATAGCATCTAATTTCCTTTTGATCAAGCTTGTATCCGTGTTGAGAATTTGTATAATATTGTACATGGATCTATGCATGAGAAATCTTACGTGACTATGTGTGGGTGCGTGTGTCTCACAGATGTACAAATAAACGTGAAAAAGGTTATTCTTAGCTGAATGCACATAATTATTTGTACATGCATTATACATAATTTTCACGTTTCACAAATATTGAAAGTGGTTAATCATTTTGAAAAAAGATATTAAATAGAACCCAGAACCAAAAAAATATTTACACAATAGCAGATAAATAACAACATTTCACAATTTTTTCAACTAACCTAAAACAACAATAACCGAACTGAAGAAAACAGAATAAACAATTTTATTGATAGTTACTATTGACTTAATTTTAAATTCTTTGATAGTTATTTTTACAATGAAGATGATATTAGATATTGAAAAATGCATTTATGTGAACGCGTTTTGCTTAATTTAATTTTCAATTTTTAAATAATTAAAATTTTGTATTAAATTTTTTTAAATTTTCATGTCGTTAATTGACAAATAGTTAAAAAATAAATTGAATATTCGGATTCGGCACCTAGAAAAGTTGCGTTATAAAATGAATCAAGTTGAAGCCAGCATTGAATTTTTAAAATATTGTATAAAAAATGGTCTTATCTATGTATACTGCACTACGTTTCAGTTTGTAAATATATGTATAAATATATACTTATATTTGTATGTGTACAGTGTTTTATGAATTCTACCGAATGGTTGGCATTAACCAAAGTTATTGGCTAATACCAGCTAGTAAACTTTGCTGAAGAACTTTGCATTGTTTAAAGAAACTATATAAACCAAACATTTATGAAAAATCGAAATAAAGCCATATCTGCATGATGAATTCGGATAATAATAGTTTCATTAAATTTTCATGATGAACTTGGATGATTCTATTTTCAACAAATTGAACAATTTCCAGAAAATTCTAGTAAGAAAAATTGAAAAACAAACTTTATATTGATTAATGCCAACAATACAATACAATACAATGTATTGTGAATACAATGAATATGATCTCTTTCTATTATATATGTATATGTATATGTACATATGCATATATATATATGTATATTTATGTATGTATATATATAAATAATTTTATATATATATATTTTTAAAAAATTCTAGTAAGGAAAATTTTAAAAAAAACTCTAAATTGATTAATGCCAACAATACAATACAATCTTGGACCACGATATTAAAATCTTACATAATCCAATAATAAATATTCAACAACGGGCAATTGGAACTCTTCCTACCAATAAATTTAGAAACAGAGGAATCATCGATAATGAAAGAACATAAAAGTGTTAAATTTATCGATAATGAAAACACGTAAAAGTGTTATATTTAACGATTTTGAAGATTGTAAAACGAAGTATTCACTTTAAACAAACAAGGAATCAACCGAGTAGAGGCACAGTATATATATATATATATATATATATATATATATATATATATATATATATATATATATATATATATATATATATATATATATATATATATATATATATATATATATATATATATATATATATATATAT